TTTTAATCATCAAAATACAATTTACGACACAGAAGCAAATTTGTGAAAAAGTCTGACTAAAACTGTTAGAGAAATGCTTCCATATAAGTTTTTGAAAAAAATACTCATCCACCTTTTATCTTGAAATGAACAATAGTATCTATTAACTTAACAAGAATAATTTTCAACCTTTCATCTCTCTCATGTATTCTGTTTATTGCTTGTCTCTCTAATCAATAACTTCAAAAATTTGAAGAAATAAATTCTGAAATTTTTATTTGCAAGATCAACGATCATGTACAATTGTATATGTAAAAAAAACAGGTTCTGTATGTTAGTAGAAAGTGTTTATTAATTAGTAGAATGTGATAATATCTTGAAGCAATATTTAAATGAAAATTAACGCATAAAATGCAAAGTCTATCGATGAGGTGGTGGTGCTGCAGCTGGAACGACACCTGGTGGAGCATGAGCATGACCATGTTCAAAATGAAAATTCTTTTCTCCATGTACACCTGCCATATGTTCTCGAAATCTAAATAAAAAGTTAATTGATTTAAATTCAAATAAAAAGAAAAAGAAAATTTCATACTTATCAAAACAAACTTGTGTCATATCACGTACGGATGAACCAACATGAACCATTTTATAAAGAGACTAGAATGAAAATAATAATAACAAAAAAAAAACGATGCGAATATTACAAATAAATTTAACTTACAAGAAAGATAAGAATATGAACGAGAATAAAATAAATGACAAAAAATGTTCGACTTTGATGTGATGAGAGAATAAATTTAGCAAAGTTTAAAGCAAATTTTTCATGAATTTTAAGTGATTCATATTTCTTTTGTTTTTCCTTCAAAATAAAATCAAATATAAATCTATGTATAAACATTAAATTATCCAATACTTGTTTCGTAAAATTAGTAAACGGATCCAATGATGCATCGTAACCACGTGAATACCGATCAATAGGATCATCTGTTCCGCGTGTTGTCTATAAAAATACAATACAATTATATTATTCTAAGAGGAATCTCTTAACTATCATATTAATAGTGTTTCTGATTTTCAATCATCTTATCATTTAGAAAGATTCTCTCTAAAACTATTAATTGGTATGTTATGCAGGGACGTCCACAGAGGTGGGATCGATCCCCCCTCCCCGCAAAAAATTGAAATACCTGGAGGGGAGTACAGGTCGAACAATTTTCAGAGATTTGAAATAACCTTTTTCTACGATGTACTTTTCTGCGGACGTGTCTGATGTTATGTCATTTAATTAAAATGAGATTTCAATCAATTTTAGTGGATAAAAGTTTTTTT